AGCACCAGCATGCATACATAATTTTTGACTTGTTATTTGGACAATAAATGAATGACAAATATTGGTTGAATTAAAGGAATCAAAGGGACAACTGAAATAATTTAAAATACAAGCTGATTGTTCTAAACTGATTTATGAAAAGTTAGAAACACTCACACACCAAATAAGTTTTTTCAAGTTAGAAAATAAATTGTAGGGAATGATTGAAGTTTCCAAGGTAACCAATTTTTTAGGTCATTTAGAAACCACACAATAGAAACCTGAGTCAACTTGGACAATTCAGATTGGAAAACACCACAACCAAGTGGTAATGTATTCTGAAGGTTTTCTATGCAACCGAAAATACATCAGTTCCCATCTAGCACTAAGAACTTAAAACTGAAATATATATCAGGCATAAAAAGAGAGTATTTTCCTTGCAGCTGGTAATTTATAGAAGCAAACAGTAAGAGCAAAAAAAGATAGCATCATTTTAGGAAGAAAAATAGCTTAGTACCATAGTTGTTGTAGACTAACAGTAAAGAGTAATAAGAATAAGTGCCAAGCTTAGGTAAGGAATACAAAGATTGTGGCACAAGAAGCATGATGTGTACAGGGTACTCCCAAGGGTGACATAAGAGAAATTCACAGAAACATTATAGGGGTACGGCACGAATCTTACCAGGACAAACGAAACCTGCATAGATTGGCGCGCCAGGAGCTCCTTGCCGCATCAGTGCTAATCGTGCTAATCTTGCACACCTGCATAATGGTAAGTCTAAATTGATAATCTAGCAATGGTTATTGTGACCATGAAAAAAAATCAATCATCAGACCTACAAAGTACCCAAAAGAAATTCCAGAATACATAGGCCATCATTTTCAATCCATATGAACTATGCACTTTGAAGCTGTTTAACACACTGCCTCTTTTTTGTTTCAGTAATCGCAAGGAACGTCGCACACCTCACTACAACAAAAATCATGTTTCAAATCACATGGACCTGGAGACCATTCCTTGGTTCGTTAAGTTTACTACTTCTAAAGTAAACAACCATGCCGGACGTATGCAAATAAAGACAACTTACATTAGCAATATGCTAATGCTGCATATGCACAGAAGAGAGGGCAGCAATAGCTACAAAACCCAGCAAGCAGCAACTAATAACCCCTTGTGCATAGTGACCTGAAAATCAGTAACAGTGGCTTCTAAGGACACACGTTAATTCGATAAATGCAACTATAGTCTATAAACACCATTTACTAAGCACAGATCAGCAGGACGCCCCCATGCCGCATCCCTCAACGCTGGACGCTGCGAGAGGACGCCTTCAGGCCAGATCCGATAGGGGAACGAACGGATCCGTCCATGGAGGTCCTGGATCCGATCGTGGAGGCCCCGGATTGACACCAGCAAAGGCCGACACCCGTTTACCCCGGGAGCACCCTCGCACCGCGCTCGGAGCAACGTGAGAGGAGGAGGGAGGTGGGAGAGGCAGGCACGCTCGCCTTGCGCCGGCGGCCGCCGCTGAAGCGTCCCCGCACCGGGGCACCGCGCCGCCATCGCGTCGGGGCCCGCCCATGCCAGGGTTGCCGTGCCCAGGGGGGCCGTGCCGAACCACCACGCCGGGGGCCTGCCACGCAGCCGCCGCCACCACCGGGACGCACACAACGAGGCCCGCCCTAGCCAAGAGAGAGGGAGAGGGAGGACTGGAGGAGAGGCGGGCACGACAGAGAGGAGTGTGTGCTGTGAATCGTAAGTCGGATATATATTTGGTGTTGAGTAGAAGCGAAAGCAACAGAAGCTACAAGAAGATGCTCCGAACAGAAGCGGATTCAAGCAACATCTGCTGTAGGATCAAAGATCGGACGGCCAGAATTAATCGGAGTGACGTGTACGCTCTCATTGAGGTTGAGCTCAGTAACGGTGGCTCCTAAGGACACACGTAAATTCGGTAAATGCAACTGCGGTCTATAAACACCATGTACCAAGCACACATCAGCAGGACACCCCCATGCCGCATCCCTCGACGCTAGACGCTGCGAGAGGACACCTTCAGGCCAGATCTGGTAGGGGAACGAACGGATCCGTCCATGGAGGTCCTGGATCCGGTCGTGGAGGCCCCGAATCGACCCCAGCAAAGGTCGACACCCGTTTACCCCGGGGAGCACCCTCGCACCGCGCCCGGAGCAACAAGAGAGGAGGAGGGAGGTGGGAGAGGTAGGCACGCTCGCCTTGCGCCGGCGGCCGCCGCTGGAGCGTGCCCGCGCCGGGGCACAGCGCCGCCACCGCGTCGGGGCCCGCCCATGCCAGGGCTGCCGCGCCTGGGGGGGCGTGCCGAGCCACCACGCCGGGGGCCTTCCTCGCTGTGGGCCTGCCACACCGCCGCTGGGATGCGCGCGACGGGGCCTGCCCTAGCCAAGAGAGAGGGAGAGGGAGGACCGGAGGAGAGGCGGGCAAGAGAGAGAGGAGTGTGTGCTGTGAATCGGAAGCCGGATATATATTTGGTGTTGAGTAGAAGCGAAAGCAACAGAAGCTACAAGAAGATGCTCCGGACAGAAGCGGGTTCAAGCAACATCTACTGTAGGATCAAAGATCGGACGGATCGAATTTATAGTAGTGACGCGGACGCTCTGTTGAGGTTGAGCTCCTGCTGCTCTCTTGTTTTAAAATCTGCTGCCAGGGCACGCACTTTTGCTCAAACGTGCTGCTAGTGCCAAACTTTTCCCCCATTCTTATGAGGAATCATTGCGCGCGCGCTTCCCACTTTTTTCATTATCTTTTCGGAGAACACATCATTCGCCCTGCGGTTAGTTGATAAACAAAGTGTGTCACGTACATACATGCCTCCTCTCCTCATCAGTCAACAGTCATCGTACATGCATACCGGCAGACAGCGTTCCATGAATTGCTGCGCTGCGTACGTACTGTAGTACCTAAACTACGTACGAAACCCCAGCGAGAGAGAGTTGTTAATGCGTAGCAGGAAGATGATGATTAATTACCTGAAAAACGCTTCCAAAGGCTCCGTTCGCTGAAAAAACAAGTCAAAATATTGTTCCGGTTGATTTATTACGAGAGAAAAACACTATTCTACCTAAAAAATAAGCTAAAAAAGACGGATTTTAAGATAAGCGCCTTAGTACTGATACTGATCCAACATGGATCAATTTGTTGTACCAACCGCCGTCTCCAGGTCCGTCCGACGACAAGGGTACTCGATTCCCCAGCGAGACGCCGGCGAGGGCCCTGCGTGTCGTTGGATACGCCTCACCGGTCACGTCGAATCCCATATTCCCGTCCCGTGTAGTGGCTGGGCACCTGTTCCACGGTACCTGGGCTGGGCTGTTCCTAAACTGCTGCATACGGGGTACTTCTAGTGGAGTACCGGCTCCTCGTAAGGGTTCAAGAAAAAAAAAAAAGGGTTTCCGGCTCCGGTTTTTTTTTTTTAAAAATCAACGGAGGGGGAGAGGACCCCCCACCTGCTTCATTTCAACATTAGTTGGCCCAGGAGGGCAGAATGGGTTCGAAATACATAAGTTTTTTGCACCACCGCACTTAGAATTTACATTGCGCTTGTAAGCAGATTATTGGCTCCGGATTCTCTCACGGTGGAGTTGGATCCGTTTGAAAACCGTTTGATAAAAATAGCTTCAGTGACAGTTTTGCAATAATTTGTGTCCACTTATCTTATGAAAAGATATAAGACGAACAAGAACGATTGATTAGTTCATTGACCGAGAAATCGGTCGGCGACTGATTAGTGCATATCCTCGCAACAATTCTCAGCAACGCAGTCCACCGCACACGTTCACACTGAATCATTCAGAGATCGATTGGCTCCACTATGCTGCTGCAGTAGCGCTCTCTCAGTAGACAATTAAGCTCGCTGCGCTGCAATTTAGATATATATTCTTTTGTCAATGACAAAAAGAACAATCTATTTGTTCGGTCCGCGTTGGTCGTTGGATGACGTTACCATGTAACAAGCCATGCTACATTTAAAATGAAGTGGAGCACGATTTGTGGTCATATTCCAATTGCGTTGAACATTAACATGGAACTCGGCATATTGTGGTCAGTGACTCGGTGTGCTTTGTTCCAAAGGAACAATGGTAAGTTGGAGCTGCTAGCTAGGCCCGAGACAAGGCGAACAAGACTCAAGTTGTGGTATAATAACACAAATATACTATATATTTTACTAGTTCAGAAAAATAAAACACATATACTCCCCTCCCCACCCCACCCCCCAAAAAAAAAGACTTGTACAAATGATCATGAACTTTGGTTATATGATGTGCATTTTATTCAGTTTATTTTTCTTCTCGTCGGCTGGCTTTATTTTCAAATTCTAAGCACAATAGGCCTATTACAATTGCAGAACTCAAAGGTTTGATGTCAGATAATTGCCTCTGTTCAGCTTACCTTAAAAGCCGGCTTGTTCGGCTTTTTTTTTTTCAGCCGGAACAATGTTTTTCTCTCATAATAATTCAGCTTTGGTTTTTTTTTAGCCAATTTCAGCCTAGCGAACAGGGCCATAAAGAAGTTATGGAGTAGAAACATGTTGCCAATCCAAAGTAGTATACCCTAGATGATGAACGAGAGCCCTAGCATTCCATTCCATCAAAGTGACATGCATCCATTTCATAAGGCATGGCTAGCCCAACTATCCATGGAAAGCCCTCCACATGATTAACAACTCCCTAACACACCCAAACCAATCTCGTAACCTTAGCAACCGGATGCTTGGCAAACTGTCGTCATCCCAAGGCTTTTGCATGGCCTTGGAGCTCTTGTCCTAAACATTTTGTTTGCTCTAATCACCTTCCATGCATGATCTCTACACCTAAGAACTAATACTCCTACGAATTAACCTCCTCCCTGCCCCCTCCCCTGCACGTACGCGCAGTCGCTGCAGTTCTCTTGTCCCCTCGTCTGTCTCCTTCCTTCTCCATCCATCCGGCATCGCTGAGCTGTGGCTGGCCTGCGACTGCGAGAACGAACAGCTTGTCTGGCTTTTTCACAGCCCCATCAGGATGTAGTACACTAGCGTGATGGGCAGCGCGATGAGCATGCCGAAGATGACTCTGCAACCACAAATAAAGCAAAGCCAACAGCAGGTGAGACAAAACCCTGAGGCAGGGAGACCCGAGAATCCCGGCGCCTCTGCTGCTAGTGCTAGCTCAGCTGCATGCAAGACCCAAAGACGATCGATCGATCGATTCATGGATGGAACACAAAGCTGAGGTGCGTGTGCTTACGCCGTGCTGAGGATGTCAGGGTGCACGCCGTACTCCTTGGCGAAGACGAAGGGGACAATGCCCTGCGGCAGCGCGGCCTGCGATGCAGATGCGTGCGTCAGTAAGGCGATCGACGGCGTTTCAGCCGGCGTTTGTGTTGTGCGTGCGTGCAAAGTCCAAAAGCGAAAGGGAGGCTGTGCCGCGCTTTACCGGCACAGGAGGCATATCGATCGGCATGCCCGGCCGGCCACTTTGCCGCTGTTTGGATTTTTTTGTTTTTTCAAAAGGCAGTCCTTGTCAGTGGCATGCCTGCTGCCTGCCTGTGGTTTGGTTTGTTTGTGCGGTTGGTTGGTCTTGGTCGGTCGTGAAGGTTTTGTTTACCTGGACGATGGCGACATGGAGGAGCGTGCCGCGGAGGCCGACGGCCAGGGAGGCGGCGGCCATGACGGCCGGGCCGGTCAGGAACCGCACGGCCATGGCGAACGTGGCCACCTTGTTCCCGCACGCGATGATCCGTGGCTGCAGCGCCATGAACAGCCCTGCATGCACGGAGGAAGCGACGTCACACGGTGTCAGTTATGCACTCGGTACAAGCAAGATTCACTGTTCCATAGGTGGCGTCCAGGTGCAGAGAGGGCGGAGAGAGGGTTTTCAGATCCACGGACCGAGACTGAACATGGCCATGCCGAGCCCGGCGTCGGAGAGGATCGAGATGGACTTGAGGATGATCGCCGGCATCTCGAAGTTCCACCTGTCCGCCCGCCGAGCAAAGACAACATCGAGAAACGAAACAGATTAGTGAGTGAGGGAAAGATCGAACGCACATTGAATCACTCACGCCGCCGGTGATGCCGAATTACCTGAAGCAGACGAGCGACCAGATGAGGCCGATGAGGCTGGAGTAGGTGTTGGGGTTGCGGATCAGCTTGCGCCACACCATGATGAGGATGAGCCGCGTCATCACGCTCGTCGGTGGCATCGCCGCGGGCGCCGCCACGCCGCCGGTGTTTCCCTGCACCGCCGCCGCCTTCTCGTCGCCGGCTTCCGCGTCCCTCTCCGCCGCGCCCCTGTTCCCGAAGCTGAAGTCGTCCCGCTCTGTGAAGTCCTCGCCCCGCTCCTTCCTCCCGTCCGCCGCAACTAATTAAAACATCCAACAAGAACACAACAAGTTTATTTATCTGAGCATGCAGCGCAGCCAACAAGTAGGAGGTCGTCGCTACCTTTGCGCGGGGAGGCGACAGCCATGCGGACCTCCTTGACGGCGGCGGCGTCGTTGTACTCCGCGGCGCCATTGCCGAACACGTCGGACACGGGCGACGCGCTGGAGCTCCAGACGAACATGTGCAGGTCCTTGCCGTCCTCGCCCTTGGCCTGCCCATTGGCCGCCGCCTTCTTGAGACCCTTGGTGGGCATGGGCTGCGCCGCCATGGCCGGGTTGGGCGCCGGGTACTGGCCGCCGTACTTGTTCGCCGCCTTGCCGCCCTGAGCGTCCTCCTCGTAGTTGGACGGCCTGGGCGTGGCGCCGGTGCGCAGCCCGAACGCGTCCCCGGCGGCGAAGTTGGAGCTGCGGCCGACCATGGAGTAGAAGTCGGTGTGGTTGAAGCTGGAGCCCCGCGGCGTGGGGTTCCGCGACGACTGCAGCGAGTAGATCTCGGCGTTGGTCAGGTTGCTGGGCCGCGGCGTGGTGCTGGAGAACCCCATGGACCGCCGGGAGTAGATGTCGGAGCGCGACGCGTTGGAGCGGCGCACCGTCACGTGTATCTTGCCGTCCTCCTTCACCTCGGCCTCCGTCTCGATGGCGTCGTTGCGCCCGTCCAGCGACACCACGTCGGGGTCCACCACGATGGACGCGATGGCGCCCGCCGTGTCCGGGAACTGCTCCGTGATGAGGATCCTGGCGCCGCGGTACTCGAACATGAAGAGCATCAGCGTGTACCAGATGATGCACTGGAGCACCACGATCTGCACCATCAGGCTGCCGGAGAAGTCGCCGTACATGCCCTTGAGCAGCGGGATGCCCATCACCAGCGTGTTGGGCAGCGTGGACAGGGAGAAGAGCGTGATGGTCCACTCCAGGCAGCCCCGCCGGGAGAGGTAGCTCCAGGCGGTGAGCAGCGCCAGCACGATCAGCTTCTGCAGCGTGTCGGCGGCGATGAACCGGAGGTTCATGGTGTAGGGGTTGTTGGTGGAGATGAAGTGGAACGAGAGAAGCGGCACCGCGAAGAGCGCCACGAAGCGGTTGATCCCCGAGCACTGGTCCGGCGTGAAGATGCGCCACCACCTCACGGAGCCGTACGCCAGGATCATGGCGACGTACAGCGGCATCATGGCCGTCATCACGTGGTAGAAGTCCGTGCCCGTGATCATCTTGCCGACGCGTCGCCGCCGCCGCGACAAGAAACACTTGCGAGCTGCTAGCTCCTCGACGTGCGTGCAGCCGGGAACGCACTTTATGGCGCCGGTGGTGCGGTGGGAGAGTGTGATGAGTGGGGTGGAGCCGTGGAGTGGTGGAGGCACGCGGGAGGGGGGAGTGGGCATAGGTGCGTGTGATTATTTATACACATCAGATGTGCACTGCACACTCCCCGACAAGAGGGGGGAGGTGAGGAACTCAGGAGTCAGGACGCGAGGGGCAACGGTAGGATAAATTCTGCACGTACTCCCCTATCCGGAAACACAGGTCCTCCTAATAAATCGGTATTTTTTAACTTTAACTAATTATATATAAAAAAATATCAGTATTTATAATACATAATTAGTATTATCAGATAGATTGTTGAATATGCTTTCATAATAAATTTATTTAGAGATATAAATGTTACACGTATTTTCTACAAACCTAGTCAAAGTTGAGAAAGTTTAACCTGCACGTATCCCATAATGACTTCTATTATGGGACGGAGAGAGTATTTGCCAGCTGTTGAAATCTGTCACCATAAACCATTGGATAAAAGACAGCCGGAGCTAATGAAATCTGGAAGTCAAAAGTCGAATTGAAAAATCAAATGCAAATGAAAGGGATTCAATTTGGGTCAAAATTACAAAGTTTGTAGAAATCGGACCTGTTTAGAAACCGGTCCAGGATGGTGTTTGCTGGTGATTGTGTGGGGACAGAAGAAACCAGCCCAGGCTAGTTTTGGCTGTCGGAGGAGGTTTCAAGTTTTCTTCAATGAAAACTCATCTGGTCTCACAGAAAACTTGCAAATTACGTGTGTAATACATGTCCTACTGGGATAATATCACCCACTTTATATATGAGAGGATCATGACCAATTAAGTTATCCAATCGATCAAAATCATTCTACTACACTTTATGCTCTTTCTTCAACCTCAAACTTTTCTAACCCCTACTGTCCAATAGGTCTCTCAATGATATTTGCTGACGTTTTAAGTGGCCTTGTCGATCCTATGACATTTCTAATGTCCTCCCTCCCTGACGGGTCTTCTAGAGAGGTCTTTGTTTGGTTTTGATACAACGTTGGATATTCGCTTTAACAAGTGAGTTGTAAGCTAGCTCGGCCCACAAGCTAGTTGAGCTACATGAAGCCATGGAGTGGAGATGGCACATCTGTACGTGATGAAAGGTTCAACTAGTGAAGAATTAATGAGATCAAGATGATAATCTGAAAGTGCATCTATCCCTTTAGTGAGTTTTGGATGATTGAATGACAACACGATTAAAGGACTAACATGTTTGCTAAGTGTTAGTCAGGGAATTGATTATCTCATAGATACTTGATGAAATTGTATAAAGCCAAAATGATGTATTGTTGTATAAACAATCTAGTTCAAGCACAAGACAACAATGCAAATGGAATTCATGCAAAGGCTTATTTATTGTGGGATTTCAATGATCTATGTGAAAGCAAGCTAGTAAGAATAAATTAATGAGACATGAGGGATTGCATATGGAATGGTCTCATATTTGAAGCTTGCTAAATTGAAATGAAAAAGACAACAATACAAATGAATGGATGATTCAACACAAGATGTGACTTGATGGCTTGAGATGGTGAAGATAGCAAGGAAAGGCTTCGAGGTACTAAGCAAGGGTGAAGGGCAAGCGACGGCTTGGCGGCCGAAGAACCTAGCTAGGGTGAAGAAGGAAGTACTTGCATTTAGTTGAGGTACTAATCAAGCTATGATGGTCATATTGATGTGGAGGATCAAATCTATATTGGACAAGTTGATTAAAGTGACTTGATGCATTTGGAGTTATTCATATTTGATGAATGGAATCAAGTCACGTGCTCAAGATGGCTATGCTCAAGTGACAAGATCAATATTGACATGTTGGCACCCTCACTTGATGAAGATTGAAAGACACGGCATCAATTTTAAAGAAGATCAACTCAAAAGGTTTAATTTCGTTTTTTCTTTTGATCTTGAGTTAATAGGTATGCCGTACTATTAAGAGGGATGCAAGTTTAGGTGGTCTGAGGAAGATAGAGTGCTCAAGCATAATAAATAAAATCAAAAGAGAGACACTCTAGCACTTCACGAGCACATAGAATAATTTTTCAGTGACTATCGATTAATGGAAGTCCCGACGTAGTTTTAACTCCCGACGGTACCGGAAGTCATGACTCTTGCCGGAATCGCGACTCCGTCCATAGCTCATGATCGTGTGACGTTGGAAGTCCCGACGTGAGTCGGAACTCCCGACAATCGAAGTCCCGACCTGCCGGAGTCCCGCATCGATGGTTCTCTCGACCTGCTGATCGCGTTTCGTTTTGAAGTCCCGACGTTCGTCGGAAGTTCCGGCGGTGGAAGTCTCGGACGTTCGTCGGAAGTTCCGACGTTGGCTATCTCGAGTGGACTTTGACCTCGCATGAACAAAGGTTTTCTTCATACGTCGGAAGTCCGAGATCTGCGTCGGAACTCCCGGACGAGATCTGAAGGTTAGATTTTGCCTTTGTGTATATATACCCGTCTCCTTCATTCTAACCGTGGCCCACTCAATTCATTGCGACAAACACTTTCGGCCAAACAGCCCCCAAGCATTCTAGGCTCCCTCTCTTCACTCCCTTGCTTCCAACTTCGATTCCCAAAGGGTTTGAGTGATTGGAGAGTGGATTGAGTGAGAAAAACACTTTGAGCAAGCTTGAGCACTTGATTTCTTCGCAAGCTTGTTTGATTTGCATTTGTTACTCTTGGGGATTTTCCCTAGCCGGCTAGGCATCGCCCAAGAGCTTCCATCTTGTGGAAGAGCCTTGGGAAGTTTGTATTACCCTTGTTTTCTAGTGAAGAAACTCAAGTGACCTTTGTGGTATCCTTGAGTGAGGCAAGGAGGTGGAAGAGACTCCGACCAAAGTGGTCACCTCAACAACGAGGGACGTAGGAGCTCCTTTGTGGGGCTGCCAACCTCGGGATAAATTCTTGTCTCCAGCGTGCTTGTTGTTGTTGTGATTTGCTTCGAAATTACTTGTATTTGGTTGTCTCCTCTCTCTAGCTATTTCTTAGGGTTTGGGACTCGATCTACGGATTGGTGGCTTATCAACGTCAAGAGAGTGACCCAACACCTTACCTTACCACTAGGAAGTGGGTTTGTAAGTTATCGGCATCACAAAGTTCATTTTAGCACTTGTAGTTCATTTCCGTAGGGGTCGGAAGTCTTGACAGTTTATGTTGGAAGTTCGACTCAAACTGTTGGGACTTGACACGTGTCGGAAGTTCTCGACCCAATCGTCGGGACTTCCGACACGTCGAAGTTCTCGACCCAAACGTCGGGACTTCCGACATTAATGCATAGTGCATTTTGATTCAACTCTTTGGTTGCCATTGTTTGGCTCCCTAGGTTTATCTAGTATCTTTTATATACTTTGTGGCTAACTTGTGAGGGGTGGTATTACTCTGATTTGGAGTTTCCATTTTGGAAACTCCTATTACTAATCGTTTCCGCTTTTAAAGGTGTTGATTTTTCAGAAACGCCTATTCACCCCCCTCTAGGCAACATCCTAGGTCCTTTCATAATCCAAGTGAAGATCATTGAGTATATGAAGTACAAAGTAGTCTTGTATGCCAAGATGTTGAAAGTCAAGCAAGACCCGACCGTGATGGACCATGCAAGGGTGAAGGAAAAGCTATGGGCTTGAGTACGATGGATTGTTGTAGCAGTGAAGCGTGAGTAGAGAGCTTGATGTTGATGGACCAAGGGGTGAAGAGTGAGTAAGGCTTGTGCCGATGGATTATAAATGCCATATGAAGTTATGAAGTGATCTGTGTCATTTTTTAAGTACAAGCCAAAGAGTTGATTTCAAGTGGCTTGTTGATATCAACGAATGATATCAATTGGCTTGTTGTAGTGGAAGAGAAGGATCATCAAGTGTTAGAATGCAGGAATTTTTCATATTTCTTGTGTTTTCCTTATAAAAACGAGTTGATTCCTATGAAATTTCTAAGTCCTAAACAGTCATAAGTGTTTTATTGTTTCTTTTCTTTATATATCGTATAGCACATTTGAGAACTTAATATGAAACATACATCATGGTAATGCGGTGCTGTTCGGCTGATGGTTTCTGCGGCTGCTGCTAACGTAGTGTTGATTCTGGCTGATAAGCTCAAGTGAACAGACCGAGCAATCGCTAGGTAATATGCACTAGCAGTAAGACTAGTTATCATGCTTCATTCATGGAACATTCTTTTTTGCTTCAACTGGTGGAGCAGCTCTATGGTAGAGATGAAGCTATTTTAGAAAAAAAAAATATTAAAACAACTTTTCGTGGTTATCGAAAAATAAAATGACTATAATACCTTTTTTTTCTTGGCTTGCTGACCTAAGGGATCTTTCTATTCCTTTCTTTTTTTGTCTGGTAAACCTAAGGGTTTTTTTATCATATTTACTTTACTTTCTTTCGTTTTTCTCTTGGCTGGCCGTTTTGCGCTGGGTGTTGCTAGACAAATCAGACCACGGCCGCATGTTGGCCTAGAGCAATACTGAGCCGAACGAAGGAAACCGTTATTTTCAGTTTCCCTTCTTTTTCCACGCTTCTCTGAATGCATTTCCTAAAGCTTTTCAAATGGAGCGGGACAACGAGGGAACCTCGGGTTATCACGCACGCGGGACTGTTCATGGTCTCATGGAGCGGTACCAAACGTGCCCACGAGCGCTAGCTACCAAACTGCTTCACGCAGTAAGCCAGCAATCGATCCGTTGAAAAGAATTTGGCAGTGGAGGAGCACACGACTCCTGTACGGCTCCCACGCCATGGCACGCCGGAACGCCGACAGCGCAACCAAAAAGCTGCGGGGCGACTCCAAAAACCCCGAATAATCAAAGGCTCCCAGCTGCAGGAGCAGGTTGCAGCAGCCCGCCCGCCGTGCCGCCGAGCCCCGCGTCGGGCGCTGCGCTCCCTGCGCCCTCCGCT